CATTCTGTTAACCATTTCTGATCAAATATACAATTATTATACAGTACGTAATGTATTTGGCAAACTTATGCGCAGCGATGATCTTAAAGACTTATTAGCGCGTGGCATCCATCATATCTAAACCTATCTGAAACTCTTTTGTGATATCATTTTGAGCCAACTCTTCGTATGATGATTGTTCACTTACTGTATAAGGAAAATTCCAATAGAGAATAGGAATTTATTGAATTAAAACAAAATTGCACAATGGTTATGCTTCACAAATGCCTTCCAATAATAATAGGAATCTATTGATTTTTGAATGCAATTTATTGAGTTGAAAACAAAGCTGTGCAACAATAACGCATGATGTGACTTTTCGCAAGTGTCTATAAGGAAAGTTCCAATAGAAATAGGAATTTATTAAATTAAGTTATTAAACCTTATTGACAACAAGTTGGTGACTTTCTTTTTTTGCTATTGAGGTAAACAGACGGTCACATATTCATTTTGCATTCAAATTGTAACCTTGTTTACTAAGTAGTATCTGTCCTTGAGTTCAAAGAAAACCTGTTTAGATTATTGAATCAATAAATAACATGTAATCATACATACGGTGCATAATTCTTAAGTATTTTTGCTTCGAATATTAATTTTATTTGTTTATACTACGAAAATTTTTGTAAAATATCTTAAGAAGCTAGAAGATGAGGAAAACGAAGTAATATCCCACCACGTGTATCTAATGCTGTTGGAAAAATTATTGAACAAAAAAAAAAAGGTGAGAGTGGATTAAATGAAAAGATTTATGAATTGGATAAAAAAATTGGTGAAAAGTTTGACAACCTGATCGAATTAGCCAAACGAAAAAACAAAAGTGAGGAAGGTGGATTATGAGGAAGATGAGGAGGAAGAGAAATATGATATTCGTCGTGCTTCTATTCTCAATTTTTAAAAAATTATTTAAAGATAGCTTTTAAGAAAATTATGCATTAACATTTATTAATTACTAATCTTTTAAATAAAGTTTATTTCTCCTATTACATATGTTAAAACTTTATCGTAACGTCAATACTCATTAAAATATCTACTGTAACTATGGGATTACTAAATAAATTCTGCTCAAAAAATATGAACATACTGTATAACGTGCACAATGACTTGGCTTGAATATACTGTATTAGAATGGTGCAATAGAAGGGTAATATGGGTATTGAGTGCTGTGTACAGTTAGGAATGTAGACATTTCATAAATGAGTTGTTCAAGCTTGATTCTAGAATGCCATTCTATCAACTTTCAGTTTCAAAATTTGAAGTGTTAGAACTGAACAGTTTAGCCAATAAAATTAAATATTACATGAATTTTATAAATAATACAAATCAAACTTGATTTGTGTTAAACTAGATTTTATTTATTTTTTTATTTAAATAAAAATATGTCTAACAAAGAAATTTTTTATGAAATGATGATTTTTTTAATAATTTTTTCAAAAAAGAAAATAAAATTTATATAATAAAACAATCAATATTTTTATGATATAAGTTCAAAAATAATTGAATTAGAAACTGTTATCTCTGAAAATTCAATTGAAAATTTAATATAGAGATATTTTGAAAAAAAAAATCTATCTAATGCACCAGGTTACAATATTTGTAAAAGATATTTTAATTAATATTCCCAACAGTATCATTTTGACAATATTAAATTTACTATAGGTTTAATATAGTAGGGTACAAGCATATATTAAATTTATTACAAGTCAATACCATTTTAATAATATTTTAGTATCAGTTCAGAATCCTAATTTTAATAAACATAAATTATTATCAAGCATTACTTCCTAAAAAACATTTAACAAATATTATTTAAAAGCATTTATAAAAAAACAAAAAATTTTATCTTTTAAAAAAATAAATCTTTTTTATAAGTACAAGCAAAATAAACATAACAAATATTTTATTTAATAATTAATTTATAATCTTTAATTATTTATTGTAATAAATAATTATTGTTTTAATTTAAATCTTTATTAATTTTTTGTATCTATTTTATATTATTTTAGATCAATATTAAACTAAAAATAAGTATAACCTAAATTTAATTTATATTTAAATTTAATTAAAATAATTTTAAAAAGTTTTATTTTATTTAAAAGATGTAAACCTTCACCAATCTTTTGTTACTGATAACTCAAAAAAAATACAAACTATAATTAGAATGATTTTTGATTTCTATATTATATTAACAGACTTATTAGTTGGCTAGATTAAACTCAACTAATGCATCACTTTTCTATTATATAAAATATATTAAAATAAATTTCAAACTTATATACCAAACTATTTAATAGATCAATTTTACAAAGTAATTAATTATCTAATCATATAAAAGTGCTACAGCCACTATATACAGTTGGACTCCAAGTTATAATTAAAACTGATACGTTTGCTTTTCAAATATAGCTTGATGTATGATAGACAAAATATTGTTTTGTTATATATTTCAGTTTGAATAACTTGCTCAAATAATTAAATAATCATTTTTTTAACTAAACATCACTAGTAAAGATTGACTTTTCATCCAACATGCCTAAAATTGACCCTTCTAATCTTTTGATACTCCTTACAAAGTACTTTGCATATAAAGCTGCATTATTTAAATATTTGAGTTAAACATGACTCAAGTATAAAGTAGAAAAAAAGTGAAAGAAATACTTGAATGTGAAATAATTATTTGTTGAAAAGATATTTGAACTTGAAATGAAATTAAAATTTCTTATAAGTATTGTTAAATAAGATAAAATTAATATTTTATAAATTTAGAAATTAGAAAATTTTGTATAAAAATAAGTTTTTAAATTATTTAATATATAAAAACTTTCAAATTAATTATGTTTCATTTAAAAAGACATAATTGTTTATTTATTATTTTTAAAAAAAACAAAATTCAAAAAACACTTAAATTAATAATTTAAATTGTAAAAAATTTTTGTAGTTGGTTTTTTAATTTATATTTAAAAAAATTTTTAATAATAAGAACTATTTGAATTATATTTTTATATTTAATTTAAAGATCCACTTTTAATTCTGTTATGTTTTGGTTTTTAAAATCAGCAAAGTTAGATTCTGAAAAAACTTTATATTCTAAAATAGCAAAAATAATTTTTTGTTTGTTAATAATTTTGATAAAAATTTTTCTGCTTGTTTTAATAAGAAAAATAAAATAAGTATTAATAAGATTATAAAATCAAATAAGTTTTTTGGATAAAATAATTATAACAAATTATTTCTAAAACTTAAAACTTGGCTTATAAAAAAACTTTATTAGTTTTAATATTAAAATAATACTGTTAGAAACTTTATAGCTAATATACTTTTACAACAATTATACTTGGCTGTTATCTTTGTTTTTATCACTTCACTTAAAAAAAACTTGAAATATATTAGAAGTATATATTTTTCAAATAAATTTAAAAATACTTCAAAATTCTATGAGAGGCTATTTAAATCTTTTTCTACTAAGTATTTAAGACAGAGATACAATAATTAAATTTGAGTTTTTTACTCTAATATTACTAAACAAATTTATGATTTATTAATTAACAATTATTTGAAACAACTATTTAAACTTTTACTTGGTTTCTGTTATAAAGGTTTTTTTCTTTATTAGAGATTTTGCCTTTTTTATATAAATGCTAGTTTTATATTAAAATAATAATAACTATACTAAATATTTCTACTATAATTAATATGTCTATTATTTAAATTATAGTCAAGAAAAGATATAAATTAAAAAAATAAATAAATAACTATAGTAAATATAACTTAGATTTTTTAAATTTAAGAAATTTATAATTATTATAATATTAATTCTTATAATAATACAAATCTTCTTTTATAATTTTGAGCTTGCAACTGAAAAAGAACAAATTTATATATAAAACTTTAAAATAAAGAATAAAATTTATTTAAAAAAAATTAATAATCATCAATATCAAATAATAAAAACTGAGGACAAAAATCCTATATAAATATTATATAATATTATATAATATTATAGCAGAATATTTGAAATTAATAAAATTTATAAAATATTACCAGGTATTTTTATTGATTTAGGATAATTAAAGACATCAAGCAATATATTAATAGCTATAATATTTGTCAAAGAAATAGGCTATCTAATTAAAATTCTGCTAAACTTTTATAATCTTTAGAATTATTTACAAAAATTTGAAAATACATATTTATAAATTTTATAATACAACTGTTATTAATACAACAAGAAAATAATGCATTATAAAATATATTTTTAAAAACAAACATCTCCTGATATCAGTTTTTTAGATATATCTAATCTTACTATCAATATGGATAATTATTTTTGAAGATGGATCAGAAATTTTCTAGTATAATCCTAAAATTTATATTATAATACTGTATGTATTGTTTAAAAGTTGAATCAAAAAAAATTATATCTAGCATTTTTGTCATCTTTAAAAATAATTGCCTATATATAAACAATACTAGATTTGATAATAATAACCATATCAATTTTTTGGATATAAATAAACTATTTGTTTTTTTTCTATAAGATTATAGAAAAGAGAAAAATTCTGAAGTTCATATTTTAAGAAAAATTATTAATTCTTAATATAATTCTTGAGAAAAAGAAGTCTAGTGAGAAAAATTTTTAAGAAGAAGAGAAAACTTAACTATTTAGGTAAAAATGAAAAAGAATATAAAAGAAAAAAAATAAGATAAGAAAAGAGAAACAAAAAGATATGAAAAAGAGTAAAAAAAAAGAAGAAAAAAGAAACAGTGAAAAAAATAAACAACTAAAAAATTTTCTAAAAAGAAAATTTTTAAATATAGAAAAGGTGAGTGAAAAAAAGTTTTTAGATAATTAAATTTCATATGAAATTTGATATAAAATTATTATAAGTAATATTTGAAAATATAGTTTGGAGATAATTGGAAAAAATATCTCACATGCCTGGCAATTAGTAGAGCTGGCATGTGGCATTACAGACAATATCTTCTCTACAATTAATTTCACCAACTGGATTGAAGCTTCAACTGAAACCTTAGCTCATCTATACAAATTAATTTGGATACCTCGTTGTGCTACAGCAAACACCTCCCC